AGACCATCCAGATGTGAATGAACGCAGGCTCTTGCATTCTTATCCATAAATCCTTATCTCATTCCCTAATCCCTTCCACCCCAACTGACACCATACAATGAACCTCGATAATCCTATCAACTCGCCCTTTCCATCTTACATTATTAGCTGTATTCTATCCTCCTGAAAATTCCCTCTCTCATAGCCTTCTTGATTCCTTATTCCAATCATTCGGATCGCGCTTTATTGCTGGAGGTGACTACAATGCCAAACACCTACGATGGTTGTCTAACATCCAGTTCCCGTGGTAAAATCCTATCTCATGTTTCATCTTCCAATAGTTACTCTATCCTTTCTCCCATGAATCCAACATATTGGCCAACATCCCTTGAAAAACGTCCTAATATCTCTCATCACCAATTTGGATTCCGCACATCGCTTTCCACTATCCAACAATGTCATCGTGTGGTTGATGTAGTCTCCTCTGCATTGGAGCGTGGTATGTACTGCACGGGAGTCTTTCCTTGACGTTGAACAGGCATTTGATCGAGTCTGGCACCCGAGTCTTCTGTTCAAACTCCGAAGAGTTCTACCCACTACATACTTCCTCATTATCCGTTCCTATCTCACTGATAGATACTTCAAAGTAAACCAAAATAATGTCTGCTCATCCCTCTTTGCTCAATCTGCAGGCGTTCCACAAGGTAGTAGTAAAGCTTTTTCCACTAGAGCCTGAATTATATCCTTTTTCCTAACCCGATCAAAGGCTTTGCAGAGATCTACAAAGCACACTGAGAGCACACTTGATCCATACGTTCGTCCATTCCTTTTCGCACTTCAGTCAGAATTTTACGGAGTGCTGTGCATGTACTTCGCCCTTGTCAAAACCCCGACCGGAATAGAGAGAGTATTTCATTATCTTCCATAAATCTTCATAAGTCCCTCTCAAATATCTTTTCAAGTATTTTTGATACGATGGGCCATACAGCGATTGGCCGGTAATCCGAAGGTGTCACGGGCTTTAATGTTTTAATGATAGGTCTGAGTATTAATCGTCTCTACGCTTCGGGGAACTTGCACTGCTGGAAAGATGCATTTATAATATCGACAAGCACATTGGTGGCCCCCAAGTTCTTGATCATCTTCTTTGAGAACCCATCTACTCCAGCTTCACCCTACTGATACTCCAGACAACATCATCCTCACCGATATCATGAAAAATTAGGCCATCCACATAATCATTTGTCTGTCCAGAATATTTTACCGCACTACCCCCAAGGGATGGGATGCAAAACCAGTTGCTAACTAGTGGCGCAGCACTTATTACTCGGTAACGTGAAGTATTCTCTAGTGCGCTGGCGGCGCATAGTGGACCGAAACTCTAAAATCGGGGACAGAATACGAATTTTCATGTAGTTTGTTTTCTCAAAACTTTTATATCTTTTTGAACCCAGGTAGTTGGTAACATCGAATGTACAAGGAATGATTATTTTAAAAACGTTTCGCATGATGAAATTTCATTCCAAAATTGGTGTTATTGGGAGAGTAAATTTCAATAAAATGTGATCACGATTTATATTAAATTATAGCTCAAAGGAAAGGTCAAAGTCCAATTTTTGGGGCTTGCTCGGTTGTTAATGTTAGGTTGAAGTATGAAAAAGGTAAGTCTGTGATACAACCCGACGGGACCTTCATCGAAAAGTAATCCATTAGATCGTAAATCATTTAATTTTGCTTTTCATATATATCCCCGTTTTTCTTCATTTTCTAAAGCAATGGCGCACATTTTTAATCTAACAAAACAGTTTCCCCGTTACTGATCATACTTAACCTCTTTCGTATAGTTTTTAATGTGTTGAAACAATTTATCCACCACTTTCCGGTAAGAAATTCGAATGTCTCAACATATGTAAACTTTATTATTACGATCTGTTAGAGTTCTAGGAATTTGGTGATGATAAAAAAGAAACGCAATGTAAACAAAACGTAAATTTACTTCTGAAATAAATCAATTATAACACTACACATACTGGCATTAATTAACAGATGAAAAAGTTATTAAGAAGGTTACAAACAAAAAACAGTGTTGCCAGGTATATTTACAATATTGATGATAGTTATTGTTAATAACTCCCCTTCCCTTCTCCTACAAATGCGGCATTGATCTCCAACACCCCCACTTGGCGCATGGGATTGAACACCAGTCCCATCTTCGTTGTACGCCTCTGATGTTTCTCTCTGGGTAAGAGTTTTGTGAGGACATCAGCCACCATAAATTCGGTGGATTCCTTGAAGATACCGAAAAATTCTCTTTAGATACAACCTGTTAACGCCGCATGAGCTCATATCTTTATTTTTTTAATTATTATTTTTTCTCACCATTAACCCCTTTTAAGTGTTGATAATGAAAGGTTTATTTATCTTTTTGGTAAAAACTGAGGCACAATTGTCTCAGAAATATATTTATGTTTATATTATTTGTATATCTTGCTTCGTTTGGGATGTGTTATTGCGTTTGTGTATACGCTCCAGCCCGGCAGTAATACCCTGTCTTAGGGATTAAGACATCAAAATACGGCCGAAGCCAGTCTGGATCTAGCCTTTGTTGACATCAGGTCTATATGAAGACGTCTACCAGCACCAGTCCTGACTCATCACATCTCACCTAGCGCCATTTTCGAACATCAGCTGTTGGGCGCAGCTGAGTAATCGATCGAGATCGATACATTTCGATACCACCCCACCATCGATTACTCGACAGCTAGATATCGAAAGGTAACCAGGTGGAACCTCCAACCTGGCTCGTAGTTTTGTTTTTTTATTCCCACCAAGACATTTGAACATTAAGTTATTTTTCGGTTCTCTCAATAAATTAGTTTTCTTATTTTGGACAATTATTTTTCTTTCTCTTGATTTTGTTTATAATTTTATAAGTTGGGTTTATTTATATATGTTTTCCCTAATGTTAATGTGGTTTTATTTTCTCTGCATATTATATTTATGTTTTATTTTTCTCGCAACTTTACACCAATATTTATTTTAACTTTTGTACTTAATTAGATCTTTTTTTTTATCTCAATAAATTGTAAATATTCAAAAGGGGATTTTTTTATTTTCCATTTTTTATTTATTGAAATTTTTTTATTTTAATATTTTATTGTGCATGCACATTTTTTATGTTTACAGGTCTCATTTTTACTCTTTTTATTTTTTCCTTCTTTCCCAAAATTTAATTTTTCTTGAATTTTCTCACCTTTGAGGAACCTCACAGGGGAAGGATTTGTGTTTTAATTTTGAAATACCCCCGGCCCCAACACGACCAGTGTGTCATTTTTGGGTTTGAGTTGAATCTCCTAAGTGCCCTCACTGCAAAAGATAAATCTGGTCTTGTGCAGTTGGCAGCATACATCGGTGAACCAACAGCAGCTCGATAAGGTACATCAGCATCCTCAGAATCTTCATTCTTCATAAGCTTCAAGCCATATTCCATTGGAGTTCCCTGTAGTTTACAATCCAACATGTCAAACTTATGAAGAATTGTTTCTATATATTTCTTTCGGAATACCCATTTGTACTTGATTACGTTGTGGTCCTTAGGGCGATTAACCAGTTCCCAAGAATTATTTGTGAGAAGTGAATAATACTCTTCTTTGACGGCCATCTTCCAGTTTTCAGAATATGTTTGGGAAAGAGCATCGTCCAAAGTTTTTGGACCATCTAAAGAATCAATGGACATTGTAACACTCATTGCAAAATGTTCAAAACGCTGGGGTAATTTCTGCGTTCTCTGAAGGAGTTCACGTTTTGGAAGATCTGCTGCAGAAGATGAACTACCCAAAGATAATAAATCTTCTTTAAAGTTGTTTTCAGATGGATCTTCTACATCTTTTAGCCGACCGTCCGATTCTGAAATCTGCAATCCTGGCAGAAGTTAGGAAAGCTCATGATTTCTAGTAAAACCTGTGTATCCCCTACTACAGTAATAGGTAATTTTTCACCCGAAGCCGTAGTAATCGTAGATTTTATATTTGGTTCTCTAATATTGGTCAACCAATCCTTTTTCCCTGTTACGTGGATCTTTGCTCCCGAATCAATGTACCACTCGTTGGAATCAAGAGGTGCGGTCGGTAAAATTGATTTTTCCAGAACAAGACCCTGGTCGATGTAGGGCTCCCTACTCCTATCCGTATTCTGGTTCCTTCTCCAAGATTTAGGACACTTATTGGCATAGTGCCCAAACTGGCTACAATTATAACATTTGATGTGAGCCAACCTTTCCCTGCTAGGCTTTGAGAACAAGGTAGTTTCACTCGGAGATTCGTACTTATTGGCTTCTGCCAAAAGCCTCTTCTTAACTAAATCAGATGTGAGAGTGGCCCCACAATTTTCAAGAGCCATAATAAGAGGTTTGAAATGATCTGGTAAACTTACAAAAATCAATGCAGCCAGGACACCATCCTTGATTTCATGGTCAATTGATTTTAGCTGTTGAGCCAACTTCACCTTCTTATTTACGTACTCCGCCATATCCTTACAATCTGTGTAAATCCTTTAGGTTGATATATTTCTTCAAGCCTCTTCCATACCTCTTTACCAGTTTTCAACTCACGAATATCAGCATAAATGTGCGATTTGACACCAGAAACTATAGCTGTCATGGCTTTGTGGACCAACTTTTCATCAGTTGCCTCTTTTTGTACGTGATCCCACAAATCACAGTTGATTAAGTGAATTTCTATCGCGAATTTCCAGTCGATGTAGTTACTGCTACATTCTAATTTTTCAAAACCTAAAGGAACACCTGTACTCGTGGTAGACATTGTAAATAAATTAAAAGAAACGTCCTTGCTTACTTGATTACTTGGAGAGAAAAAAAAGGTAAGTAAAACATTGGTCATTGGTCTCCAACACGATCCAAAATAAAAACCTATTAGTTAGCCAAAATCAAGTTATATTCGCTGTCAACTACTACCTTACATATTGACAGTATCAATCTGTACAAATAGTTTCTTAAATAAGCAGAAAATCAATTTTGTTGTTCATTGTTGTATACTGTTGCATGACAACAATAAATCTATTATTGTTATTTAATAAACTGAAATTGAATGTGCTGGATATAAATTTCGCTGATTTGTATCCTATTGTTTTATTAAACTCACACTCGATAGAAGCAAATTAAATAGAAAGTTCATCAATGGATATAGCAGCTTCAGAAACAGAATCTGAAATAGCAAAGGTCAATGATGAACAATCTGAAACCGTTATTCCGTCGGAAAATAGACCTGTAGAAGAAATTATAAATCAGCCTACTGAGCAAAATCAAACTACGATTCTTGTGAACGAAAAAGAACAAGAAACGGAGCTAAATGAGCAAGAAAACGAGAAAACGGAGCAAGAAAATGAGCAACAAGAGCAAGAAAATGAGCAACAAGAGCATGAAAATGAGCAACAAGAGCAAGAAAATGAGCAACAAGAGCAAGAAAATGAGCAACAAGAGCAAGAAAATGAGCAACAAGAGCAAGAAAATGAGCAACAAGAGCAAGAAAATGAGCAACAAGAACAAGAAAATGAGCAACAAGAGCAAGAAAATGAGCAACAAGAGCAAGAAAATGAGCAACAAGAACAAGAAAATGAGCAACAAGAGCAAGAAAATGAGCAACAAGAACAGGAAAAAGAGCAAGAAGAGCCACAGCAAGTTGATACAATTGAGAATACGGATGTATTATCAAATCGCGAATCAATCTTAGTTACAGATATTGTTGGTGAAGAACTGCTGCTTGTTTTAATAGAGAATCATGAAAATTCTCTATTGATTTTCATTAATGATAAAGAATGTAGCCTTTCTCAGGAGGTATAAATATTTAACCATTTAATTCCATGATATTTATTACATTAAAAGTTAAGTAGCCTGCTCACTTTAGAATAATTAATAATATTTCAATGAAGTATTTTTGTTGTTGTTATTTTGATGATTTTTTATAATTATGATTAAATTCATGTTTTGCAATTTGTTTTTGGCTACTATTTTTTCTTATGTGTTTTTAGGTGCTATCGATACTCGAGAAATTCTCAGAATCGAATATATCAATGGAAGTGGTTGATGTTAGCGAAGTCACAAGTAATTTTTTTCTTTCTGTTTTTTAACAACTATTATTACTTTTTATTTATATATTTCTATTTTGTCTTTCGGCTGAAAGGGTTTGATAGTGATGTCATATCACACGAACGAAATGCGTTTGTCATGTCTGTTAGTATATACATATATGCTATTTAAACATATATATATATATAATATACAAATTAAATATTGTCCAGTATAAGTAATTCTTATTATGAAAGACTGCCGTTTGCAACGTCTCCGCTCTCTTCTACCTAGATTGTTAAAACGGAGTAACCCCCGCTCGTTCTCTCTTTCTCGTGCTCAGTGTCAAGCTTAGCTTAAAGTTGTATTGCGTAACAGTGAATGTTTAATTTATATTATATTATATTTATAGAGTGACTTTGGAAGTATTAATCATATAGGAAGGAGTTTACTTATCTATAATGCCTTCAACTCGACGTGGTGCTGATTGTAAAGTAGGAGTGAAGAGTGAATCCTACAAAGAGACACCTGCTGGATCACATGACAATCACGAGGTAATTCCTAATTTAATAAAGAGTGAAATAGAAAAGACACTATTATTCTTTGAATTTATAACATCACTAACAACCAAGGTGATTTCTATAATAAGAGATGCAATTTCTAACCTCATCAAGAAAGAGTTAGAAATGAAAACAAAACCCTTGTATGAGGAGGTAGAAACATTGAAAGAAGAAATAGATCGTCAAAGTCAGCTACGAAGTAAAGCTAGATTGGTAGTTCACAATAATATAAGAACGGAAGTTTATATAAGGGAAAAAATTGTGAAGGTAACTATTGAAAAAATGGTGTTTTCCTAAGAGATGACTGATTTTAAGCTAAAAATCTTTGGCCGGACAACAGTGGAAAATTTTATATATATAAAAGAGAATTCCTCAAAGAACGATTACAAACTATCAATAGTTGCCCTCAATTCAATCCTCAAGGAAAACTGGCAGGCTGGAAATATATGCGAAAGCGAAGGCTGGAATTCTTCGCAGATATCGGGAAAGAAAGAGTAGGATATAAAGAGAGAAATAGACAAAAACGAGGGAAAAATGGCAAATTTACGGCATCAAAAGATAAAATCCTAAGCATATGGAAGGAACACTTCCAGCGGCTGCTTAATCAAGGACACCCCACAAACGAAGAAGACATGAACCACACTGAGGACATCGACCCACTTGAGGTTGAAAATCCAGATAATCTGGATGTGGAAATAGCTATCGGCAGGTTTAAAAGAAGAAAGACTCCAGGGATAGACAACCTACCATCAGAATTGTTCAAGGATGGGGTAGAAGACGTCAGAGCCAAGCTGTTAGATCTAACCCAGAAGATATGGGAGAAGGAACGGATTCCAGAAGCATGGAACACAGGGTTGATCTGTCCTTTCCTTAAGAAGAGCTCCATGTACGAATGTGGAAATTACGGATGTATAGCACTTACGTACGCGGAGGTATGGAGAAATTACGGTTGCCTATAAAATAATGACTAATATTCTACTAAATCGGATATATCCGTATTATGAAAACATAATAGACGACCACCAAACAGGATTTAGGAGAGAAAGAAGTACGCTAGATCAGATATTCATCCTAAAACAAGTACTTGAAAAACGATGGGAAGTAAATCAGGGTGTACTCGCATTATTTATCGACTTCAAAGCAGCCTATATCTCCCAGGACAGAAACTGTCTCTAGAAGATCGTGACTGAGCTGGGTGTTCCCGGGAAGTTAGTGAGGTTGACGAAGGCGTGTACAAATGATCCTAAATGCAGGGTACTAATACAAGAAGTATCTGAAGCCTTTGAAGTTCGAACGGGCTTGAGGCAGGGAGATGGACTATCGCCGATGCTGTTCTACTTAGCACTGAAAATAATAAGAACATCACGCGAAGATGGAGGGGAGCACGCTGGAATGACACAAAATCCTAGCATATGCGGATGATATAGCTGTCCTCGGAAGTAATCAAGAGGATATTGAGATACTCGGACTCTGTCAAAAGAAGCAGAGCAAATCGGACTATAAGTCAATGTAGATAAAACAAAATACATGATAGTTAGCCGAAACATCCACCCTAATAACATGATCTGCGTGGACTCTAAGTCATTCCCGAAAGTCCAATTAATCTCTATTGTAATTGCGTCACTGTTTGCAGTAGTGTTATGCACGCGATCAGGTCTGTTATTTCGGGATTTCATTACTTGATATAAGCGTGAGCCAGTGGGACAAGGAAGTCGACGCGGTAAGGGATCTAGTGCCTGTCATGAGTCCCTTGAGTGACCGTGACCTGTCGGCAATCATTGGAAGCTATCGAGGGGTGCTGCGGGTGACACATATAAATGCCGAATCTTATAAATTCCTCCTATAAATCCGAATTTCTCACATCGACGAAGTGAGATTGATTTTCCAGAAGGTCGAGTTAGATATTTTATCAGTTAGCGAATCCTGGCTTGTTCCAACATTATCCTCTCATAGTGTCGGTATCAACGACTACAAAGTCTACAGGACCGATAGGGTCGGAAAGTTTCGAGGAGGGATTGCGTTGTATATAATTGATGATTACCCAGTCGCAGAGCTTGAGGCTTCGAGGTATGTAGAAAATCACCCAGAGTATCTGTTTCTTGAGGTTTGGGCACCTGGTGGGTTTATTTGTATTGGGGTGGTCTACCGTTCCCCTAAAGGCTGGATGGATACTTCTCTGACATCCAGGATTTTCTCTCGCGATACCGAAATAAGTATCCCAACATCATACTTCTTGGCTAATTTAATTTAGGCCAAATGACCGCTGTGTTTAAAACGTTTAATTTACACTTACTTCCTTTCAAAACCATAAACCACGCTCATACCGCTACAGTAAATTCCGAGATTTGGATAGACGACATCGTAGTGTCGGATATCACCAAAGTCAGGCGCCATGGACAGGTTCAAGTTGCAGGGATATCGACAAACGATTTGATTTTTGTTCTCTATAAAAAGGGAACCTCATCGAGCAGAAATTTTCCGGGCAAAAGTAGAAATTTGAAGAAGATCGATCCTGTGAGCTTTAAAATTGATACAAAAAAGATAGACTGGTCCGAGATATATGATTGCACTGACGTTGATGAAAAATTAAAAATAGATACTAGTGGGGTATAAATGGCGGTTCTGGCACCTCAATTTGGGGAGGAGAATTGGACTCTGGACCCTGGGCTATTCTTACCTTAACCACCTGTACACCACGTGACCAATTTAATCTGTTTTGATTAATCTTAATCCTTAATCCTAATTTGTATTTTTTCATTTTCAAGTTCGACAGGTCTGAACCTGTCTCAACTGGTCCCATTTTGTCAACCTCAAGTAAATATAAATTGTAACGACAAAAATATATACATATATGGTGACATCCTTCAAGTTAAAACTTGTATCATCTTGTCTACCTCTAATAAATATAAATATAAATTGTAACGAAGAAAATATATATTATTGCAAACGAATATAAATTATAACGATGAAATATACACATATATTATTACAAAGGAATATATACATATATGACAACGATGAAATATATATTATTGCAAACGAATATATACATTTATAGTTACTAACGACGAAAATATTTATTATTGCAAACGAATACATACATATATGGTAAAGATGAAATATTAGTTCTCTATTAAAACTTTTCTATTTTGTTAACTTTTTTTTTTTTTTTTTGCATCTTCAGTTTCTCTTTTCTTATTATAGTGTTCTTTTTTTCTCTTACTATTATATATATTTATTAAAGTTTAAAGTTTTTTCGTTTCGTGTTTTCTTTATATTTATAGTAATTATTCTTTCTTTTTCTTCTTATTATATATATATTTATTCTAGCTTAAAGTTATTTTCGTGTTTTCTTTATATTTATAGTGTTTTTCTTCTTGTCGTTTTCAAAGTAATTGTTCTTTCTTTTTGTTCTTATTATATATATATTTAAAGTTATTTTCGTGTGTTTTTCTTATTATCGTTTTCAAAGTTATTATTCATTCGTTTTCTTATTGTTATATATATATATATATATATATATATATATATATATATATATATATACTAGTTTAGAGTTTTTCTTTTCGTTTTTTTCTTATTATCGTTATATTTTTTTGTTTTAATTCATTTATCGGTCGGAGATAATTATTTCTTTATTATTATATATAGTTATTCTTTATTAAATATATACTTTACGTAAAATTAAATCCTCCAGGAAATGTGCAAATTGCTACAAAACATTTGCTAGCCATCAAGAGTGCATGGCTCATGAATTATCATGTATTTATAGTCAGGAATTTCCACAACTAGCCTTGTGTATATGCGCCAAATGTGGCAAATCTTTTTCGTGATCAGATAACAGAACACGACACGAGGCTATTTGTGGGGATTCCTCTGAAACCCAGGAATTTTTAAATAATATTAAGTTGATATGTTCATTTTGCGGAAAATCGTTTAATAGAGAACATCATCGTTTAAGGCATGAAAAATCGTGTAAACACCTGTCCCGATTTGATGATTTTAATAAACAGTGTGAAATAATTTGTAGTAAATGTGGGATGACTTTGGAGATTTAAGGATGCTATTTCGGGATCAGAGTTGGATGATAAGATTGCGGTGTCGTCAGCGAATGTTGCAAGAAAAGTATCGGGATGAACAGGGATGTCAGCAGTAAAGAGGATGTAAAGCACGGGACCCAAGACGCTGCCTTGGGGAACACCGGCTTTAACGGAGTAGATATTGGAAAATTCTGTTCCACAGCGAACTCGAAAGGAGCGGTCAGAGAGGTAGGATCGGAGGACTAGGTACAAGGACTGAGGTAAATGGATTTTAAGCTTGGAGAGCAGTCCGGAGTGCCATACCCGGTCAAATGCCTGTGCAATGTCCAGAAAGGCACCCGAACAGTATTCCTTGTTTTCTAGGGCTGAGGAAATATGATCAACGACTCGGAGTCCTTGTTGAACAGTAGAATGTTGAGAGCGAAAACCAAACTGA